AGAGCGGCAAATACTAAATACCGTTGAAAACAATCGTTAATTAGTCGTTGTAATTTTTTATAATTTTTTTTTCTTTTTATTTTTGATATTTTTTGATACATTATTATTATTATTATTATAATTATTATTATTATTATTATTATTATTATTATTATTATTATTATTATTATTAAAGCCCGCTTAGCCCGTTTAGCCCAAAGCCCGCTAGGGTTAGAGTTAGGTCCTTTTATTGGTAGCTCGTTTAAATCCGAGCTTTTTTGGCCCAGACCGTTTAGCCCGAAGCCCGCTAGGGCTAGCCCGTTTAACATCTCTAGGCCTAAGCATGATAAGTACTAGATCAACACCCTACGTGGATGAGCCACGCCTTGAATATCATGATTCAACCAACAGCCGAGCTCGTGTGGTGGAGAGCGAAGATGATGCACCCCAATCGGAAATCCAGTAGCTAGTGCCGCTAGCTTGTCGGCCGCAAAGTTTCCTTCTCGATATATATGGGACAAGTGAACACACCACTCTCGGTTGAGGAACTGTCGAATAGCCTAAATAATGGACTCGTGGAGTCCAAAATTAACCTCATTCCCCAACACCATGGCAACAATACTACTATTATCAACTTCCACAAGAATTCGGCGTGCTCCCAATTCCCAAGCTAAACGCAGTCCGTGATAGAGACCCCACAACTCCGCTCCAGTGATGGTACAAAAACCCACATTCATAAGAAATCCGCCTAGCCACTGACCAGATGAGTCCCTCGCTAAACCTCCAGCGCTGCCTCTGCCTGTACAACTACAAAGAGCCTCGTTCGTATTAACTTTGATCCACTACACCGAGGGGAGAGACCAATGAATCATAATCTCCTCGTAACGGTTTTGCCTAATCCCCAACTTGTCTTCCCATTTTGTGATTTGTCCATGACTGCTAAAATCATAAAACACTTGATCAACTTAAAATACTAATATATTTAAAAGCTATCAATTTTCTCATTGTTATCAGAATTTTGTATATAACATATAAAACTAATACTTTTATTTTTCTTTATTATAAAATTAAGTCAACTTTAATACTAATTAAAATGAATAAAATTTTATACCTATTTGAAAAGGCATTAATCAAATACATTACATATGGATCAAAAAAGTTATCATAATATAAGATTGAAAAATCGTACAATTAAAAAATGCTTTCTTAAATATAAATAATAATACAATTTTTTTAAAAAATATTTGAAATTTAAATAAAACAAATTTATCTCTTAATTTTTTCTAAAATATTTCATTATATATCATATTTTTTTTAGTTGCTTTGCACCTAATCAAATCAAATTTTAATGGAATTAAAGTATAATTAGTTTCTCGTTACCCTGTTGGGGCTGTAGTTATTACCCTGTGGGGGTCTTGTAATTTGTATCTTTGCACTTTTGTGATTTTCTATATTACCTCTATCTCTATTGTTCCGAAAGAAAAAGAAAGAAAATATAATTAGTTGAAGAATGGAGGACCTTTTTGAAAAATACAAATCCCAAAATAACGTTAATGCTCCCAAACTACGATAGACACATGTTAATATGTCCGTCATTTATGTAATACAGACGTAAATACAAATCCCAAAATAACGTTAATGCTCCCAAACTACGATAGACACATGTTAATATGTCCGTCATTTATGTAATACAGACGTTAGTGATGTATTTTTTTTAACATATTAAAATCATTACTGCCCAAAATAGAGGAAGACGACACACTCATGACCGAATGCCAAACGGGAAATTCCAGCCAAGACACCGCAGAGAAAGGGACCTTATCGATTTTCTGCCCCAAAATTCCTCCTCTTTCAGGTTCAATCTTCTTCTTCATCCTCAAATCCCAAACCCTCTCCAGGTAAAATTTCATTGGAAGCCATTATATATATATATATATGTATATTCTTTTTGCAGAGATGAGGTCAAATGGGTGTTCATGTTCGCTTACATGTGAAAATTTGCGAAAAAAATCCTTAATCCGACCCCTTATTCGAGTTCCATATGTATTTTTGTATGTGTGTGAGAACGATAATTGGTGTTCAGTTCAAATTTGTTTGCCGTTTGTAAAATGCGGATATGCGATCGATCATTGTGAATGCTTTTGAATTGCGATCAGTACAGAGAAAGTGACAAAGCCTTTTAGGCTCATGTGAATGCTTATCGATAAATTTTCGATAAATTTGCCTTTTGAATCCGAGCTTCCTTTGTATGGACCTTATTGAGAAAGTGACAAAGCCTTTTGAATCCGACCCCTTATTCGAGCTTCCTTTGTATGGACCTTATCGATAAATTTGCGAAACTTTCCTGACTTCAACCTCATATTGTGATTGGCGTTTAAGTTTTAATTAGTTTGCTGTTGGTAAAATTCGAATATGCAATCATTGTAAATGCTTTTGGATTGTTATCAGTGTGCAGAAAGTGCGAAAGCTTATTAAGCTCGTATGACTCTAGTTGTGGTTCCGTTCTGTGAATCTTGTAGATATAATTCATCAAAAACTCTTGTGTGAGCAGATTCAGGGTTGCGCAGGGCGACATGTCATAAGAAAAAGACGTATATTGAGAAATCTTATAGTTTTGTATATGTTGTTTTTAAAAGTATGACACATGTGTTTGAAGGTATGTGTATTTGTTATTAAAAGTACAATTATCTAACGGTTAGACCTACGTCACAGCAGTCTTACTGAATATATAATGTTTTCTATTGGTAGAAGTTGATGGGAATGAAATGTGTCCTTCATTAGAAGTAATGCCTTTTTATTTTCCTTTTCCATAATTTGTAATAACTAAAGAAGTCTTTTTTAATGCTAGTTAGCAAGTGGATGAGGTGAATGTTTGATTTGGGATCCTGAATAAGTTATGTACCGTTCTGGGGCTGCAACCCCTAATCGAGGTGGGTTGCCAACAGACGGTGGAGATTCTGTCGTGACACTCGACCAAATCCCATGTTGGAGTGACTCCGAATTTAGATACTCGTATGGAAATGAAGATTCGGGCTTCCAGAATTCTTGTTTTCCGGACCCTTTGACGTCTGCCTCTGAAGGAGAGAACAGCGGAAATGGGATGGTTTCCAGGTTTCCCGTTGACCGTGAAATAAACTCGAAGATTTATCTTTGGAGAGGGAACCCGTGGAATCTCGAGGTGGATGCTGTAGTTAATTCAACAAACGAGGTTAGTTTCTCATTCGTGATTTAATTTTATATAGATGAAGTATACTGTTATGATAATTTTCGTGGATGCTGACACTTTTAAATTTATTGTTTTGCTTACTGCTTTATCCAAGCCTTTTCATGCTCACACGCAATTAAAAAGAGTAGTAATAATTTCCCAAGCTTTATCGTTTACCCAGTTATCGACAATTTCTTATGTTGGGTCATTTGCATTCTGTTGCATTTTTGTAAGGTAATATTGAAAAGATCAGAAATGATATCTTGGTTGCAATATTTTTATTGTATTTTGGTGGAATATATTGGAAATTGGTTGCAGTTGTCAACCATTTTCTTGGGGCTTTGCCCGTGGTTGCCACTGCAGTATCATATCCCTATTAATTCCTTAAAGTTGAAGTTCTGCTTCGATATGGATGATTTATTTGAGCAAATTTAAGAATTTAAGTTGATTACATGTTATCTTTGGCCAAGTTAGTGTTTTGCGTTCTTCATTCGTGCCATTGATTATTTCTAACTTGATTACGTTTACTTCTGTTACTGAAAATTGCATGTTTTCTTGGTCATTTGACAGAACTTAGATGAAGCTCACAGCAGCCCGGGGTTGCATGCTGCGGCGGGACCAGGTCTGGCAGAAGAATGTGCAACATTGGTGAGCCATGTTTGCATAGTTGTAGAGCTTTGCACCATCAACTGATTTAATTATAAAAGCTTTGATAAGTTATATCCTGAGAAATTGCACTTTCATTGCATGAAATCTAGTTTGGACGCTCCACCTGTATGAATTTTAAGTGCTAGAGTTAAAAGTATTGTAACTCTTAAGAAATGGTGACATATGCTTCTTCACCCTATGGTATGCTAACTTCAAAATGTTTGAGTAAATTAAGTGGGGCAGTCAGAGACGTGGTTGCATGAGATGACTTTATTAGGTAATTCACACTGTAAACAGCCATATTACTACATTAGAATGCTTAAAAAAAGTTCTCCACAAACTTGACCTTATTAAACAATCTGAGTTACTTATTCTTGAGTAGAATATAACATTTTAAGCAAGAATAAATGTAGGCGATCTACTAGATTATTCAAGTAAGAACAAATATACGTGATTTTTTATATTATAGAAGTGCTGTACTGACACAGTAATTTGTGTTTCACCTTTATAGGGTGGCTGCCGAACAGGGATGGCAAAAGTTACTAGTGCTTATGACCTTCCAGCAAGGTTGGTTTTTCATTTTTTTTTTTTTTTTCATGCAGTTTTTTAATTTTTATTGAGGAAATGCAAAACTCCTTAGTATTATCTCTTTGGGACATCCAACCCCATATGGACCTGAATTTTCCATCCTCGCTAATTTGCTCGTTACTTCAAAATCCTTCAACACGTGTGGAAATATTTCCTAGTAAAGGTGGTAGTAAGACGTTATATGGCTATTTCTCCATATATAGGTTCGGATTTTTTACAAGATCTTTGTGTCCGCACAGTGTAGTCCAAGAACACTTGAACAATTCATATTTATATATAATCACTTCTCTGAGTATTTACTTAATTTGGAATTTCGCAAATTGCAGGCGGATTATACATACTGTTGGTCCTAAGTATGCCGTAAAATATCATACTGCTGCAGAGAATGCTCTTAGTCATTGCTATCGGTCTTGCCTTGAACTTCTCATTGATAATGGTCTCCGGAGGTGGTTCAAAAGCCAAAAATTGAATCCAGTTATTTATTATAGTGGCATGTATAAATTTGTAAAAATAGTGGGATTTAAATATTTCGCAATATGAATGCAGCATTGCTACGAGCTGTATATATACAGAAGCTAAAAATTACCCACGAGAACCTGCTGCACATGTGGCCATAAGTAAGCAAATTACTTATGATTTTAATCTATTAATGATGTTCTGCTTCTCTTTATCTGTCAGTTCATGAATCTCCTTATCCAATCATGCTTTTGCAATACCTATTCTGTCCTGTGTTGCTTGCCTTGATATCCAATTTATTTTATCTGGTTAGGGACTGTGAGACGATTTCTGGAGAAACAGAAAGATAAAGTGGATGCAGTTGTATTTTGTACTACAACTACATCTGATACGGATATATATAAAAGGTTAGTTGACTGAAACTTCCAGTTAATCAGATCTATGGAACTTGTAATGCTTAATTGTTCGGCGCTTGATTTGACATCGCTAGCTATTAATTATCAATTCAGATTGCTACCCCTTTACTTTCCACGTGATAAACTCGAGGAAGAGGTTGCTATTTCGAAACTTCCTGCTGATGTTGGAGATGAAAATGGTGAAACGGTTATAAATGAACGCAAAATCAGAATAAAGCCATTACCCAATTTGAAGAAGACTATTCCGAAATCTCCTCAATCCTCTTCAGATCTTCAAGTCACAGATATTGGGTTGGCACGAAAGTTAGTGTCTCAGATGCCTTTTTATTCTTTTCTATATATCCCATTAATAAGCTCATGCAATATGAAAGATGCTTGATTTCACTCTGTATTTGTTGTGTGTTTGTGTGTGCGTTAATGTACTAGAATTTCTCATTTCATTCAAATTTTTTACTTTCTATATTTGTAAAATTGTCCACGTGTAGCTTTGACCTCCATGCAGTGCCGTACAAACTAAAACGATGTTCCAATAATGAAACACTGGGTTTAGGAGGAGACTCTTTCTTGTCTTCTGCTCTGACTTCTAAATATGAAACGATAATGAGCTCCACTCATTTAGCTTGATTCTTTTTAATGAGTTTTCACTGTCATGATTTGGGGTCTATTTCCTCCCTCAAAAGTGTTTTCTTTTCTTTTTCTTGCTTCTTTTTGCGTTTCTTTTGAACAATCTTACGGTATAGGCATGTTCTCTTTTAAAACAGGGACTCGTCTTACTTGGATTCGTATCTGGATCCTTCTTTTATGTCCTTGATCAAGGATCCAGATCAAAGACGCCAAGAACAATGGGAAAAGGCTGCCCAGGCTCGAAATAGTTGGAATTTCGCTAAGATTCTTGGATATGGAGACCTTGGGGGTCCTCCTTTATCTGCTGCTGAAGAATATTCTATCCATTCTAGATATCTTGCTAAAGCAAATTCCCTTAATCTTTCTGACATTGCTGAAATGAAAATCGTGTAAGCACTGTGAACTTCAAATGGTTCTGAAATATCTATGTTCAAGCCATCTAATGATCCTATGTACAATTGTTTCGCAAATGCTCATCATGTAAGTGGGGCTTTAGCAACAAACTCTTTAATGGTTTACAAAGTTGTAGAAGTACATGATATGATGTCTTACTGCATAGGTTTTCTGTTGCAATCTCATCCTGATAGGATTAATAAATAGAAATTCTTGATATGGAGCATCACTCAAGAATCATTAGTCAGATGCATTGTTTTTTAAGTATATGTACTTTATTTATGCCCGGCGTATCGTAGAGAGTTGTTGTAACTTGACTTAGCGCGTAACTACTACTTTCTATTTCAGATATCGAGGTGGGGTTGATAGTGAAGGTCGTCCAGTAATGGTGGTTGTTGGAGCACATTTTCTCCTCAGATGTCTTGATCTAGAGCGGTTTATTCTGTATGTCGTGAAGGTGAATAAGTTATCACAGTTTCAGTTGTGAATTTTTTATTCAGGGTTTATAAACGATGATTTTGATTATTGATTTTATTATTTGGGTTTTTGATTTCCATATTTATGCATTTTGTCTTCTCAGGAGTTTGAACCCTTGATACAGAAGCCGTACAGCATAGTGTATTTCCACTCTGCAGCATCCTTGCAGATGTGCGTATTTCCACCCTTCTCATATTTGCTCTAATCGTCATGTTCTTTCTTCCCTTTTCCACGTAATTGCCTCTTTTTGTTACATATTTATTTCTGTTTTGTTCTAACGCATCGATTAATGGGATCAGCTGTTTGAAATAATCTGACAGATGCTGCCATAACTTTTGCATTATAGTGAGAAGTAACCAGAAATTGAGGGTTTAACCAAATTTAAAAAGGATTGTAAAGCAGAAATATTTTTATTTTTTTTTTGAAATAAAATACAGATGCCCCATTGACATATCAAATTAATTATTTCTCTCAAATATGGTTATGGAGCTACTACAAATGATGATGATATTCATAAGTTCACCAGAAAACTGATTTTTTCATAATTAAGCTAAATCTTTGGGCAACTTTTGTTAATTAAACGCTTATATACAACTCTATCTGAATTGTTGAGTTTGATGAGGTGAAGCAGCTTCATTCACAATTTGCACTAGACAATCTTGAATTTTGTTTTACTTATCTCTGATGTGTAATGATAGGCAACCAGATCTCGGGTGGATGAAGAGATTAGAGCAAATTCTTGGTCGCAAACACCAGCGTAATCTTCATGTATTTTTCTCTTATCCAGATCTCCTGCATCAAATTTGTATTTTCTCGTATTATTGATGTTTTGCATGTTATGGTGTAGGCAATATATGTCCTTCATCCAACTTTTGGACTGAAAGCCGCAATATTCGCCATGCAGTTATTCGTAGATAATATGGTACGAAACAAAATCTCGGATAAAATTGGTCAAAATCTCGGGTTTTATGTAACTCTTTTCTAGATTGGAAAAAAAAAGAATAAAAATAAAATAAAATAATAATAATAATAAATTGATATTCAGGTATGGAAGAAGGTGGTATACGTTGATCGTCTTCTGCAGCTGTTCAGATATGTCCCTCGCGAACAATTGACTATTCCTGATTTTGTGTTCCAGTGAGTTTCGAATTTCAATGCTTTTGATTAAACATGTTTTTTTTCTTTCACGAACAATATATATATATATAAAATCAATTTATATATAAAATCAATTTTTGGCGATTTTGAAACTCGTTCAGGCATGATTTAGAAGTGAATGGAGGAAAGGGTGTTATCATGGATCCAAGAACAAAATACGTCTACCAAAGACCATAGACGATTTACAAAATCCTTTGTAAGTTTGATTAATTTCATTTAAATTTTTTCTTTTTTTTTTTTTTCGCGTCGAATCGTTGTGGGCTGGGTTGTAACGAGTTGTTTGTCGTGTATTTTACGTGTAACACAGATTTGAATTCTTTCTTTCCCTTTTGTATCATAGTTATCAGAACAAATGTTCTCTTTACAATGATGAAGTAAATCCTGCTGCTAATACTTTTGGGATTTTTTCTTTATTTCTTATAGTCGTCTGTATTTTTTTGGATGCAGCGTGTTTAAAGAATTTGAGGTGAAGATGTGAATGTAAATGAAGTTCCAAACTATAGTGTTTTGTTTTAACAATAAACAAGTAGTCAAAAATAATTACTTTGCACTTTTACTATTCACAAATAAGTGTGGATGACTCATAAGTCGCGCCGTCCCGATGACTCTATAGCAAAAATGTACAGTTTACAGATAAAGATGGAGAAATATAAAATGATTTAGTAGAATTGAAATACTTTTGCTATCATGAACGAATATAAAGTAAAGATGGAGAAAAAAATTGCTTTTAGTAGAATTAAAATATTTTTTATAACACGTAACTATTAGAACTAATGCTGTGTAAAAATAATAAATAAGAATTAGTGATAGTTAATATTAATGATAAGAGTTCTTTTGAATAGTATTTTTTGTAGTAAAATTTATAATAATAGACTCTTTTATTGAATTTTATTGGTAAAATCTTTAACAAAAAATTGAGATAAAATGAATAAATTTTGATTAACCATACAAGCTGAACTAATTCTTATATCTAAATCGTGATTCTGATGGTGCCTAACATAAGATAAAATATAAAAAATCCACTGCCAAACAAAGTCTGATATCGAAATCGTCAGCCTGGGAGTTGTTGCTTCTGAGCTACCTTCGTGTAGGCTTCCTAGATTCAGTTGGTTAGTTGCTTGACTTTCTAGTTATAATTAGGCTTCTTAGATTCAGTTGGTTGGTTGCTTGACTTTCTAGTTGTAATTACTTGGTTTTGATTTTATATAATTTCTGTCGTTTCGAAAAAAAAAAAAAATCATCACCTTGGCAAAAATTAAAAAGTAAAATATATAAAAAAAAAAGATAAAAATAACTTCAAAGATTTTAATTTTAATCGGCCTAAAATCTGAAGCTACAGTACAAGCCACTTTCCAACTTCCAAATAATGCTGTTGTATAATATATGTCAGGATAAAGACAAACAAAACCAGTCAGTCAAATCATTATTTTTCTAACCAATTCGAAAGTCTGTAGTAAAGTAAACCCGAAACACAAACCAATCAAACAACACCTCAACTTTCCGAGCTACACAACTCACATTTACATCAGACAAATCAAACCATGAATCCAACATCCCCAATCTCTCCCAAAAAAAAAAGGATAAAAAGGAAAAAAAAAAATGCAAATTACGCAAATGCCCTTTCTTCCGGATCACGTCAGCACGACGGTCGAAATATTTCCTGCCGGGCACCTCTGCCTTCTGGGCCGCCTAGTCTTCCCCCACCCAGCCAGCCTCTGATCCTCCAAACCACCCTCAACGACTCGATTGTTATTATTATTACCAATTTGCTTCATTAACAGACTCGAGCAAGAAGTCTCGACTGCCACATTTGCTGCCGCCCGTCTCCTGCCCCTACCGCCCCCATTCCTCTTCGTCAGCCCGAAATTCCAAGAATGGCCCGTGGCCCGCATGAGCCCACCGAATATCTGAAGATCCTCAGTCACCTCATTTCTCGACAAAGTAGTCAGGCCCGGGAGAATATCCCGTTGAAAATCTTTCCTCTGTCTACCCCTCCTCGTCTGGCCCCTCCTCGACCTCATTGCTAATGCATTCGCCTCGTTTTCTTCCTCATTCTTCGGAATATCGAGCACGAATGGCTTCGGCATATAATCCTCTTCTTTGGTCTCCGCAAGTTCCAAAGTCATGGCCTCAAATTCATCAATTTTCTTGGCCCGGAAGTGTTCGGTCCTCAGTTTTTCATCCGGGCATGCTGAAATGGCATCCACAAACCAATTTATGGCCTCAGACAAGGAAACTTCCGGTCGTGTGTCGTTTTGTGGGCCCGTTGATGAGATGGCAAATATAGTTTCTGCTGCATTTTGAAGCATTTCATCTTTTACGGGCTCGTTTTTGGTGTTCTGCAAAAGCTGTGAGTGCAGCTTGTGTTCTTGCGTATGTTCCTTGGAGAGTAGTGAGCTATCTTCCTCCTCGCTATCGAGAAAAACAGGAACTTCAAGGTCGATTTCAAGGGTTATTTTTACGCTGGCCGTTTTTCGTTCGTTATTTGGTGCTGGTGAATAATCTTCGCAATCACTTAGGCACGAGTTTAAGTCGATTACTCGGTCCCTGATAAATTCGCCCTTATTAGAAGAAGTTTCTCTTTTTGAAGTAGTAACAGGCTCGTCGGGGCCCATCTGCTCGTCTGGCTCACAAGCGATGTTTATATCAATCAACCCATTATTCCTCTCATTACCACCGACATTGTTTACCTCGGGAGGTGTGCTTTTTCCGAAAATGGGAATTCCGAGAATTTTGTTAACGGCTCGGTGGGCCTCCGGAGAAGTAACTTTAGAATCTGTCACGGGCTCGGGCTTGGGCTTAGGCTTGAGCCAAGGCAAGGGAACTAGATGGCAGTCTTCTTCAGGCTTGCTTTCTCCATTTGTATCCTGCGGTGTTGAGTTAATATCGATCACGGGCTTCTTCGGGCCCGCCCAAGGAGGCCCAGTTGAGAAAATTCTGGAACCATTATTAAAAAAGTCAATGCCAGTCAATGGCGGGTGTACTTGTACTTGTTTCGATGCTGAGGTGGACGTGTTATAAGATCCGGCTTCATTGTTTCTTTGGGAAAACAAAGGTTTAAGGCGCGTTTCGAACGCGGTTGACGACGTTTGGGCCGAGCTACTAGTTGGGTTGGCCCAATGTGGGACGGGATGAGCCCATGAAGTGGTGAAGTAAGAAGAAGAGTTGTGATTTCTGATAGAAGATTCTAGAATCTGTCGGGGCTTATCCCTCCTCCACACATCTTCCCTGTTGTGATAACAACCATTTCGATTTGTTCCATGATGGGAAGGTAAAAACAACTTATCCGGTTGACGATTTTGAGCTGGCGAGTAGTAGTTATTACCCCTAGAAGATCCTGAAAAGACATAAAAATTCGTAAAATAACAGAATAATCGCACGATAATGTTGCGAGACAAAAAGTTCAAAATCCATAGAAGAAATGAGTAATTTGTAATAAAACAGATGAGTAGATTTCAAAAACAAAACAATGGAATTTCACCGTAAAAAATGAAATCTTTTACCTGCTTCAGATATATGAGAGAGCAGTCCTTTTGTACCAACTTTACTTTCAAAAGATGAATTTATCGAAAATCCATTAAGCCGATCGATCCCTTTAGCCTTGATAGTTCCAGCATGGCCAAGAAAATCAACAGATGATGGACCCTCATCGTCATCATCATCATCATCGATTATAATGGGCTCGTTTAAATCAGCCAAACCATTCGAACCTTTAAAACCACTACCACCAATGAATAGTTTTGTACTACATTCCGGCCGAACATTATAACCCAATACATGAGATTCTTTACACTCTTTAGAATTCACCCCTTCTTGAATATCAATGTACTCATCAGCCGGAAGACGAAGATCGAACAAACGCTTCCTCACCTTCGAGGGCCTCGGCCCGTCAGAGTCCACCTTCGAAGTGGGCCTGTTCTCAAACAAAGGCTTACCACCGGGCTGTGGCGTGTTTATTCTCAAGCAACTCGTGGGAGAATTGACGATTTCTAACCCGGGAATAGATGTTCTGCAATAACTAGAATTCGGTAGAGAAAAACCTGCCATGTGCCATTTTTTGGCCTCCTCTCGAGGATTGTGAAGATTTGACGATGAAGCAGCGGGCTCCATTGAAGCCCGATTTCTATTGGGTTCTTTCTTTTTTGCTTCTTCCATCATGTCCCTTTGGATTTGGTACAAACGGTGGAGCTCAAACACCTTAAATTCAAAAAAGTTAACATTAAAATGCAAACATGGGCTGATGCATTTCATTGAATCATTTGAGAATTTTACTAGATTAACATAATGAGTTTGTCTTAGGGAGTGTTTTCTAAAATTAGCGCTCCAAACTATTATAATTCTCGAATATTTGCAGGAACTCTGTAACGATGATAGTAAAACAATAATGATATTAAAAGGTACCTGATTTTTAAATACTGCCTCGTGTTCGAGCATTTTTTGCTTCAAAGCATCCTTTTCGTGCACTGGATAACCATCCACTGAACCCCTTGGCATGAATCCATTGCAATGCTGCCCGTTCGGTAAGTTCCTATCCCCGCAAAAAAAGGGCCAACTACTAATGCTAGAATTCTCATTAAGATCCCTCATGGAGTAAAGTTCCGGCAAGTAGCTTTCACAGTGTATTTTTGTTCCCATTCCTGTAGAGGATATGTTTATATAAAAGTTAGTATTGAACAACACAATGTACAAAGTCCCTGATATTTACAGTTAATGATAATAACAAATAGATGTATAGTGTTCTTGTTGACAGATTAAATTAATTTGCATGTAATGCCACAAAATCTTTCTATCGTAGCATAACTATATTTATCCTTCGCAGTGGACAAAGATTAATTTCTTAACTAAATAATTCAGCACCGAATACGAAAACCCAAAAAAATAAGCACACGACGCAAAATAGACAGCAAAAATTCACAATGACATGAACAAGCTATTGACTGTTTTATCAATACTGACTTGTTATATATTATGTCGGATTTTACATGTACCATCAAAATATAAGGAAATTAGTGTAGTGTACTAAGGAACACAGGGACTTTCATGACTTCAAAATCTTGCCGAGCCTGACAAATCACCTATACAAGTAGAAGCACAGATCATAAACAGTGGCTCAAATTCAGAAAATATATTTAATTCTCGGACGTTGTTAAATTTGCAAAAAGTGACAACCATGTTACACATAGGAAATATAAACAGACCCTTGTCCCACATCAAAAGGATGAATAAATCCCCCTTTTTTGGAATCACGCTATTGCAATTTGTTTGATATGTCCAAAATCACTCAATGAACAATATGAATCCACTTATAGATACACATAGTGCAACAAATAAATTTGGGTTGTACCAATAAGGAACATCAATTTAATGCAAAGCGAAAGCAGCAATTTACCTTAAGTCTACCAGATTAAGATATTCCACTTTGAATGAAATCTTTTTCATCGAACATTTCAACAAATTCTTATTCATCTACCACATTTCATATATTCATCTAGCTAGCACACATTCTATGATTAGTCGGGATAATAAGATTGGAATGGTGTCGGATTAATCTTTTTTTTCAAGAAAATGCATCAACATAACATGGCAATGAATAATGGATCACTAAAATGCCCGACTCGCTTCAACCAGTGCATTAAAACCTGAAAAATGCCATTGAAATTTGAAACCAACACAAAAAAGGGAGCTGCAAACCTGCAAACTGAGTTTATATGCACAGAATACAGATCCTATGTGAATGATCACACACCAAAACCAAGAACCCAACATATATCATCCAATAAAATTCCCAATTAACAGCCCCAACACATTAGCAACTATTGCTGAAGAGAAATTGCCAAATTGCATAAACCCAACTGTTCAAACCCAAAATAATTTAAAAAAA